ATTTCAGGTATCCGATTTTTTTCGGGTATTTTCGGATCGGATTTTCGGATTTTTCGAATCGGATGTTCGGATGCGGATATTTTTGACCACCCCTAGTCGGAGGTGTCTTGGAGTGGTCGAAGATGCCTTGGAACTGCCAGAGTACTAAGTCGGTGGTGATACAGGTGGCCGGTGTGGGTGGTGATGGTAGAGGGGAACCGTAGTGAATAAGAAGGGGGGAAGGCGGGTTATGAACGGTGTAAAGTAGGGATGAGAGTGGGTCCAAACCCGAATCGGTATACCCGGACCCGGAAAACCCGGGAACCGGTTAACGAGATTTTTTAGGATTGGAAACTGGACCGGTATATAGCAACCGGTTCCGGTTCGGTTCCCGGTAAGGTACCGGGTAAAGTGAGTCTAGAACCGGAAAACCCAGAAATATCAAAGTGGGTCGAATGGAACCGGGTAAAGTGGGTCTAAAACCAAAAAACCCGGGGAACCGGGTAAAGTGGACCAAATGCATGTTTTAGAATTTCACAAAATACAAAAATAAAGTTGAGAAAAAAAATCGCAGCTTTGATATCCCAACTTTGGGAGACTATAAATCAATGAATATGAAACCAAAAATGACAAAATTATAGTCTAAATTAATCATGTACAAACTCTATACTACACTTTGGAAAAAATCGCATGCTATTCCGACTTCAAATGAATTAAATATGCATGTTTTAAATCTATCACGAAATACAAAGAAAGCTGAAAAACATAAAATTTTCAGTTTTGATATCCCGACTTTGAGAGACTATAAGCCAATGAATAAACACCTAAAAATAACAAAATTATAGTCTAAAACCATGTACAAACTATAAACTACACTTTGGAAAAAATCTCATGTCAATCCGACTTTAAACGAATGAGATATGCATGTTTTAAAACTATCACAGAATATAAAAAAAAGCTGAAAAACATAAAATTTCCAGTTTTGATATCCCAACTTTGAGAGACTATAAGTCAATGAATATAAACCCAAAAATAACAAAATTATAGTCTAAAATCATGTACAAACTATAAACTATACTATGGAAAAAACCTCATGTCAATCCGACTTTAAACGAATGAGATATGCATGTTTTAAAACTATCACAGAATACAAAAAAAAAAAAAAAAAAAAAAAAAAAAAACTGAAAAACATAAAATTTTCAGTTTTGATATCCCGACTTTGAGAGAC